ATTCTCCATAGGCTCCACCCATTGTTTGGCCCAGTGCGGGTGTAAAGGCTGCCGGGAATCTTCAGTGTCTGAGCACCCCGTTATGGGTGGGAACGTCCCAAGGGGGCCGGGTGGGAATTTAGGGGCCTTAATACTTAGAGTAGGGTTCCTTTAAAGGGATCCTTAAAGTGTTCTATAAGAGATCTAAGATAGGGTTCTAGTGTTGGGGCCTTCATAATTAGAACAGGGTTTGGGGGTATATTGGACTATGAGTATAATAAGGAACCCCCAAAACCCTAGTCTAATTATTCAGGCCCCTACAGTAGTACCCCATGCACCCGTATAGCAGCATTTGAGCCGACGGTTTAGGGTTTAAGGTAACCCCGAAACATCAACCCTAAACCCTAAACCCTAAACCCTAAAGCTCTTCCTGGCAGGCAGGAAGAGGTCGAGAGACGTACGAAAGAGCGGCTCGACCGCAGACCAAGTCGACACCCGAAGCCTCAAACCGACAGGGCCTTTGCTTTCAGGTTTAGGGGTTTAGGGTTTAGGGTTTAAAAAGTTTAGGGTTTAGGGGTTTAGGGTTTAGGGTTTAGGGTTTTGTTGCTTGTTGAATTCCACTTTTATTTTGAGCAGAAGGTCTGGTAAGACGAGTTTCAGCTCTGCTTCGAGATGCCGGCAGTCGCTTGATGTCAAAGTTGGCCTCCAGGGTTTTTAGATGAAGGCTAAGGCTACGGGCGCATCTGTGATGGAGGCGTCATGTCAGCAGATGCGAGAACAAGAAGTAGTCTTCCCCTTTGAATCCCTCTGGTCTAATGCACAATCGGGGCATGTCGTACAGTATGCCATGCCCCGATACCAGTCCGGATGATTTAGTGCAGGATTTCGTCGTTGTTTCCCACTCTGGTGCAACACAGAGCAAGATAGCGAACATCTGCGAGATAACTTCCCGTGTTGAGCAGTCGAGTGCCGAGGGAGACAGTCGCAGCATTGCCTGCGACAACCTACTTCTGTATCACGTTTCAGGGTTAAGGGCCAAGTTTCAGGGTTTAGGATTTTCGTTTAGGCTTTAAGGTCAGCTTTTCAGGGTTGAGGACTTTAGAGCAGGGTTTTGAGGGCTGGGGATTGGGGTTGGAGGAACGTAGAGTGCGACGAACAAGCCTGAAGAAAAGATACTTTGTGCACAAGGAGTGCCTTTTTGGGGCGCCTTTTTGTTGTGTGATTGTTGGCGCAGTTTTGGTCCTCGGAAAAACCCAGACTCCTGGGTTTTGGCTTGAAAGAATTCTGCTAACTGTCGAGACCTTTTACCCTGATGGTCGTAGCCGTAAGCCCTCTGGAACTCTTCGTACAAAAGCATAGTATAGTAAAGTACAGTATAGTGCAGTATGGTATAGTGTAGTATAGTATAGAGTGAGGTCTCGTCTAGTATAGTCCAGTATGGTATACCACACTAGACTATACCATGTCATATAATACTCTGGTCTTCTTTTCAGGAGTCCCTCAGCACCCTGTCTAACTGAAAGTCGCAAGCGGCTCCTCCACACCCGAATCCGAATCCCTAATCCCTAAACCCTAAACCCTAAACTCTAAACCCTAAACCCTAAACCCCTAGGGTTTAGCGTTCAGGGACTTCCTCAGGGCTCCTTGTTTCAGCTATACTAGTAATATACCCCAAAAGACATTTCTCTAATTCTTTAAGGCCCTGCTACTCGGGTTTCAGGCCCTCGACCCCAAAATGTAAGCTCCATGACTCTTCGGGGAAACCCCCTGCAGCCCCTAAACGCCAAACACCCTTAACCCCAGGAAGACTTCAGGGTATTCTGGCAGCCTAGTATAGATCCCCAAAAAGAGCCCTTAAAGGAGTACCCTTTACCCATATAGGCCCCATAGTAGTTCCTTTCTGTGGCTTCTATTTAGGGATCCTACAAGGAACTAAACCCTAAACCCTAAACCCTGAACCCTAACTATTAAGAGGCCTATAGGTAAAAGACAGTCTCGGGCTCTGAACCGAAGGCTCCACGACTGCCGCGCCGAACTGGCCAAGCTAGAAGTCGCCGAGAGGCATGACCGAGTTTAGGGCTTTGGGGTTGTTTAGGGTTTAGGGTTTAGGGTTTAGGGGTTAGGTTTAGGGTTTAGGGTTTAGGGTTTAGGGTTTAGGGTTTAGGGTTTAGGGCGGCATGGGCAAAGAAGCATGAGCTTGCCTGCTGGCATCCTTGAAGCTGGCAAACTGTCGTTTAGGGTTCAGGGTTTAGGGTTTAGGGTGGTTTCGGGCTTAGCGTTTAGGGTTTAGGGGTTTCGGGTTGAGGGGGTATATGCTGCTTCAACAGGGCTAAGCCCTAAAGGGAGCGTAACTCCGGAGCACGACGCCTCAAACCTAAGATCGGGGCCTTGACAACTGCCTATTCTATTTTGGGAGTTCCTTATCATACCTGTAGTATTAAGGAGCCCCCAAACCCGATTCTAATTATTGAGGCCCCCTACAGTATAACCCTAAACCCTAAACCCTAAACCCTAAACCCCCTAAGTTCTAGAAGGCCGAGATGTTTCTGTTTTGGTGGTGGCCTCGCGCAGGGTTCAAGCTGGCCCGAGGCCGAAAGGAACTCGTGGTCCCGGTTAGGGTGTAGGGTTTAGGGTTTAGGGTTTAGGGTTTAGGGTTTAGGGTTTAGGGTTTAGGGTTCCGTGTGGTTAATGTAGGGGCCGAAATAATTACCAATGCTATTTAAGGGGGTTCCTTATTACACTATAGACATTCCGTGTGGTTTACTGTAGGGGCCGAAATAGTTACCAATACTGTTTAGTTAGGGGGTTCCGTATTAACATTATAGTATAGTGGGCCCAAAACTCTATTCTGATTCTTAAGGTCCCTAGATTAAAGGCCCCCAGACTCGGAATCCAAACGCCTAGCACTCCAAAGCCCAACCTGAAAATCCAAGGACCCTCAAACCCGAAGACCTAAACCCTCAACCACATTTTAAAGTCCTGAACCACTGAACTCCTAATCACAATAGCCCACATGCCCTGAGGCCCCAAACCCTGAGACCATCATCCCTTGAACCCCCCCCGGCAAACCCTTCTGTAAATCTGAAGGCCCCAGATCACGAACCCCAAACCACTGAATCTCGAGACCACCTAACGCCCTTCGCCTCTAAGCCCTCAGAAGCCCTGAGCCCAGAAAATCAAGCCCTGAGATCCCGCAACCCCGAAGGCCCCAGATCCGAAATCCCCCCAAGCTCCCTGAAACTCAGAAGTCTCAGGTCGCTTAATACAGGGGCCTTAATAATTAGCTATACTATTCTGGGGGTTCCTTATTATAGTTGTAGTGTAGTATGCCCCAGAACCCTATTCTAATGATTAAGGCCCCGACATGGACCCTTAATGAAGCCAGGGTTTAGGGTCTGCGGGGTTTAATGTATTCAACCCGATAACCCTGAGCCCTAGACCCTTAAGGCCCTGCGCCCCGAAACCCTGAAAAGGACCGTCGAAGCCTTGTCCTGACTTCTTGTGGTTTAGAGTTGCCTTCCTGGTAAATGCTGAGGGGCGGCTTCGGAGCATTTTTGTTTTTGGGTTTAGGGTTTAGGGTTTAGGGTTTAGGGTTTAGGGTTTAGGGTTTAGGGTTTTGGATCC